GTTATCTATACACAATCTTTTTTGATTAATTACAAAGCAGACTGGATGGAACAAAATTTTAGTTTGGTATATCAAACAAGTTTTGAAAATGATTCTTTCTTGGAGCTTCAAAAGTTTTGTACTGATTTAATGTCCAAAAACCCAGATAAGATATTCAAGTCATTAGATTTCTTTTCAATTCCAGAAAAAATTTTGATCTCACTTATTCAAATTGATGATCTTAAAATGAATGAAATTAAAGTATGGGAGAATGTTCTTATTAAAATGGGGTCTTGCACAAAATCCTGAGCTTTCTTCAGATCCCTCTAATTATTCAATAGATGATTTTAATTCTTTAAAAAATACTTTACAACAATGTATTCCTTTTATACGATTCTATAATTTAACTTCTAAAGAATTTTCAGATAATATTCTACCTTATAAGGAAATTCTATCAGAGGAATTATTTACGGATTTATTAAGAAGCTTTTTAAATTTACATCCTGATAGCAAGGTCAACCATAAATCAAAGCCCCGTATAGCTAAAGAAGGGATACCAACTTCTACAACTATTGATGATGAAAGAAAGGTATAATAACATTTTTGTTTAATTTAAAATTATGAATGAATTGCTTATTTTTGTTAATTTACTTTTAAGAAACCTTTTCATGGGATAATGGAAAGCCCGTTTCATTAGGTCACATTGATGAATGGAGGACCAACCCAAAACCAATTTCATTGAATGAAAGGCCCAACCCATGGAATCGTTCATGGAGTAAGGTCGCAAAATCCAACCAAAGGCCAATTTCATCGGATGAATGGTCCAAACCAAGGTCCATTTTACCCATTTTATCAGGTGATAATAGTTCAAGGAGCAGTTCATGGAGTAAGGTCGCAAAGTTCAACTTAAGGCCAACTTCATCGGATGAAAAGTCCAACCCAAGGCCAATTTCATCAGATGACTGGTCCAACCCAATTTTATTGGGTGATAACAGTTCAAGGAGCAGTTCATGGAGTAAGATCGCAAAGTCCAACCCAGGTCCAATTTCATCAGATGACTGGTCCAAACCAAAGTCCATTTTATTGGATGATAACAGTTCAAGGAGCAGTTCATGGAGTAAGAAACTACTATGCCTAATGAAAAAGAAGCAGCAAGTAAATATTTTTTATCTAAAATTGTAATATTGTTGCAATTTTTTATTTAGTGTTTTTTAATTTAACCAGGCAATTATGTTCAAAGTAATAAAAATGAGTAGCTGAATGCAACTAATTCTTCAGGTCTCTCTGGATCTCTTATTATATTTGGATATAATTTTTCTGGAATCGTTTGTACGAGTTGGAGGTGCGAACTGATGCAAATCTTGATTTCAATTGATATCATGTGATTACGAACGAAAAAGTGAATTTTGGAAAGTATTTACTTTTTTTCTTTTTAGGGATTCTTTGAAGTATTTCAATTTATTTAAACCATGCACTTTTCTCCTTTTGTTAAATATCTAATATTTATAGAAAATTTTAAAATTTAAAATATTTTATTAGTGAATCTTTTATTAGGAAATGAGAATATGGGTTGCTTCATAAGCTTTCTCACCAGCTGGCAAAGTGTATGAAATTTCTTTTAATTCACAAAGAAAGCCTTGCTAAAGTCATTTTTAGCATAGGTCTAGTAATAGTACATTGCCTTAATTGAGCGTGGCTACGAAGTTTATGAATCTCCCCAACTGTATCATATATTGATATATTTTATATTTAATTACATAATTTATTTACTATTCAAATTTAAATACATGTAGAATTTTTTATCATACATTTTTGCTATATATCAATAAATTAACAATAACGAGTATCTTATTATATTATTATAATGCATTTCAGTAATATATTGTATAGATAATAAATTGCACAATAAATTTACAATGAATTCGTACTATATATTTTAATAATATAAATTTTTTACAATGCATTAAAAAAAACTTATAAATATTAGGTAAATTTATGCAGTTTTATTTTCGAAAATATTCATTAATGGATTTAAAATAAATTCGTATTTTTAAAATTAATAAATTGTCACAACATTCATTATCTCTGATATATAGAAGATATGAAGTGAAAAGATAGAATTTATAATTTCATAAATTTTTTTAGAAAAAAATATTCGTATTTTTTAAAATTAAAAACAAATAAGGTTTTATATTACCTCCATGTAGCCAACATAAAGTAGTGAGGTAGCCCTATAAAAAATATGTATACGGTTTTTATACTGTATATACGTATTTTTGATACAGTTTGCATTTTTACATACGGCATATCAGTATAATGTATACTGTTCGCAAAATATGCTTAGTAAAAAATACAATAAAGTATACGGTAAATATACCTGTCTCTTATACACATCTAGATGTGTATAAGAGACAGAGTTGGAGGTGCGAACTGATGCAAATCTTGATTTCAATTGATATCATGTGATTATGAACAAAAAAGTGAATTTTGGAAAGTATTTATTTTTTTTCTTTTTAGGGATTTCTTGAAGTATTTCAATTTATTTAAACCATGCACTTTTCTCCTTTTGTTAAATATCTAATATTTATAGAAAATTTTAAAATTTAAAATATTTTATTAGTGAATCTTTTATTAGGAAATGAGAATATGGGTTGCTTCATAAGCTTTCTCACCAGCTGGCAAAGTGTATGAAATTTCTTTTAATTCACAAAGAAAGCCTTGCTAAAGTCATTTTTAGCATAGGTCTAGTAATAGTACATTGCCTTAATTGAGCGTGGCTACGAAGTTTATGAATCTCCCCAACTGTATCATATATTGATATATTTTATATTTAATTACATAATTTATTTACTATTCAAATTTAAATACATGTAGAATTTTTTATCATACATTTTTGCTATATATCAATAAATTAACAATAACGAGTATCTTATTATATTATTATAATGCATTTCAGTAATATATTGTATAGATAATAAATTGCACAATAAATTTACAATGAATTCGTACTATATATTTTAATAATATAAATTTTTTACAATGCATTAAAAAAAACTTATAAATATTAGGTAAATTTATGCAGTTTTATTTTCGAAAATATTCATTAATGGATTTAAAATAAATTCGTATTTTTAAAATTAATAAATTGTCACAACATTCATTATCTCTGATATATAGAAGATATGAAGTGAAAAGATAGAATTTATAATTTCATAAATTTTTTTAGAAAAAAATATTCGTATTTTTTAAAATTAAAAACAAATAAGGTTTTATATTACCTCCATGTAGCCAACATAAAGTAGTGAGGTAGAAACTGGACAGCCAAAATGAAAAAAAATGCCACTAGCAATTTACCCTATAGTCACATGATAGTCACATGCCAAAAGTGTTAAAGTCGCTAAATCTGAGGTTTCAGCAAACGTTGCATTGTATACAAATCTTTGCCCGTGGACCAGAGACCCTATGTTCAAGGGCCAGGGACATGATCATGATTTATTTTAAAGGCAAAATCGATGTTTAATAGTTCTGTCTGTATTCAATGAAAATAAAAATTAGTTTATTTATAAAGTCGTATTAGTATCGTATTCATAATTTAATCTCAATCCTCGGGTTTAAATTATTTTTACAGAATTTCCCGAGCAAATACATAAAGTGATCGGCGCACATTTACTATTAGTAGCTTTAATTCTGGTCAGAGAAGCATAATGCTTGTTGATAAACTCTGGTTGGCATTATCTAAAAAAAAGAAAAGATCTACAAATTATATTTGGTCCCATTCATTTTTGCATTTTTTAGATTTAATGCAAAGTTCGTTCTACAAAAAAGGGAAAACTTTTTCCGATTTTGAGTAACATAAAATTTACATATAAGGTGTCAATTTTCTTTTTCTCTCATGACAACATTTTTTTTTTTAAAAAAAAAAATGGATGATAATAAATTATTACAAAAATTATCACAAAATATACTCGATATTTTAGATGATGACGAATATTATGATATTACTATTGAAGTTGGAAATGATCCTTACGTAAAAATATTTCGTTCACATATGGTTATATTGAATTATCGTTCTTCTTATTTGCGAAGAATTTTGTCAACTAATAAAACGAAAAATGATGAAACTTTGGTACACATTAAATTACCAAATATTTTACCAGAAATTTTTCAAACAATTTTAAGGTAATGAGTAATAAAATAAATTTAATAAATTTATTATTTATGCGTTTTATAAATATATTGAATCTATGATGTATCTATATATTTTTATTAATCTTATTTTTTTTTTTAGATATATTTATGGCGGAGAACCATCTTTGAAAAATTATGATAATTTAGATATTATTAAAATCATAGTTGCTGCTAGTGAATTGAACCTTCAGGAGTTGGTTAACTATAAACAATCTTTTTTGATTAATTACAAAACAAACTGGATAGAACAAAATTTTAGTTTGGTATATCAAACGAGTTTTGAAAATGATTCACTCTTAGAACTTCAAGAATATTGCACTAATTTAATTTCCAAAAACCCAGATAAGATATTCAAATCAATAGATTTCTCTTCAATTCCAGAAAAAATTTTGATATCACTTATTAAAAGCGATAATCTTCAAATGGACGAAATTAAAGTATGGGAGAATGTTCTTAAATGGGGACTTGCACAAAATCTTGAGCTTTCTTCAGATCCTTCTAATTATTCAAAAGAAGATTTTAATTCTTTAAAAAATACCTTACAACAATGCATTCCTTTTGTACGATTCCATAATTTAACTTCTAAAGAATTTTCGAACAAGATTCTACCTTATAAGGAAGTTTTACCAGAGGAATTATTTGTTGATTTATTAAAAAGCTTTTTAGATTTGCATCCTGATAGTAAGATCAATCATAAATCAAAGCCCCGTATACCTAAAGAATTGTTACCGACTTCTGCTGCGACTATTGATGACGAAAGAAAGGTATAATAATATTTCATTAAAATTATATTTTTTGAACTTGCTTTAAAGATTTAAAGGAGGTATTAATTAAATTTATTGAATTATTTTATTTTACAGCCTATATCACGACATAATGAAACTTCTAGTTTATGGAATCATGCACCTCCTAAGAGTTCACGGGATAATGCACTTCCTAAGGGTCCACGTGAGGCGCTAATTTCAAGCA